GTCTTTTAAATGTGTATTCATGAAATGTATTGTAAGCCCAAGAAAATAAATAAGTTACAAAAAAAAAAAACTTGTGTATAAAACGCAACTGTCTTTTGTGACCACCATTTCAGCGTGATTTTTGCTGATTCATCTTTGTTTAGAGACAAAAATAATAATAACTTTCAATGTTTAATTTTTTAATAAGTCAAACTCATTTAATTTTGGTATTGAATAATCGACTCAAGTTTTTGATCCAACAGTACCACCTCATTATTTGCTGGACAAATATCATCTCAAATCTGTGAGTTGGCAATCCATGGAAAAAAAGTAATAACTTCCACATAAAGATCACATATCTACCATTTTAATGGTGTCACTTGGGTGGTCTCTATACACAGATATATGAGATATTAGCAATATGTGAGTTGCTAACTCCAGATGTAGCCAACTAAGTTTACAGCTTACGGACAGAGAAAAAGCAGTATAACTAAATGTCAGAGAGCTCTATGTCAGATATATTTCATTTTGTGTGCATTTTACTGCTGCTTTTGTTAAAGATACTTGTATAAAAATAATGTACAATGTTTTTATAATTAATGTAGTTATCCGATGAAGAAGACACTAGGACAATTATTCAGTTGCATTACACCAGTTGGCCTGACTTTGGAGCACCTAAGTCACCTATTGGTATGCTGAATTTCATTAAGAGAGCTCGAATTATTGACCAACAGCATCCATCTAAACCTGGTCCTATGTTAGTACATTGCAGGTAAGATATGACTGCATCTTGTATGTTTGACTGTTAAATACTGATAACACCATATGAAATACAGACAAAGGGAAGTACTATTGTCAGATTTTTTTCAGAATCTTGTTTATATTGGTAATAATGAGTATTATTGTACACTGTTTGTAGTGCTGGTGTTGGTCGTACAGGTACTTTTATTGTCTTGGATGCAATGATGGACCAGATGGCTGCTGAAGCCAAAGTTGATATCTTTGGATTTATTTCCCAGATAAGAGGACAGAGAAATCTTCTTGTACAAGCTGATGTAAGTTTAATGTTTTATATTTGCTGTATTTGCAGTACATCTGTGTTGTTGTTATAGTAACCACCAATATACAACTTCTGGCAGCAGAGACAATAGAGTTTAGCCATCTATTAAAAATGTACGGATGTATTCAAAAGTGTTACCGACATGATTAGATCTGTTATGGATGATAATTATTATTGTTTAGCTGGAATTTTGTTGTTATACAGGTGCAGTATATCTTTATTTACCAAGCTTTGGTGGAACATTATTTGTATGGTAACACTGAGATAGATGTTAATAATATGCTGATTCATTGGGGTAAATTACATAATAGAGTACCAGGTACAGACAAGACTGGTTTGGAAATTGAATATCAGGTAAGATTTTTTCAGTATCACAAATCTTTCACTGCCTCTCTATATGATTTGTAGTAGTTGCTTTCATTTATGAGCAGACTGCCAAATAGACATAAAACCCATTATTATACATCGTCACCGTAAGTTACAGCGTGCAGTAATTTTGCGGTATTTTATGGGGTATTCTCATCCTACCATATTAAGAAATGCGAATTCCAAATATGGAATGATTAAGCGTCCTCTAATAATAGAAACAAACATGGCAGCAACCAGGGTTTGACCGGACCACATACAAAGAAGTTCGCTGAAGTTCTAAACTTTTTGTATTTCAGCATTACGAGGATACTGCAAAGTATGTACTCAGATAGTACTCTGCTGCATGTTGGCCAATACTCCTGCTGTCTTTGTGCATACTTTACAGTATCCTCTTAATATCCTCATATTATATTTGGAGTGACTTATCAAGGTAGCTCATGGCAAAGGACTAAAACTTTAAATATCTTATCATTTTTAGAAATTGATGGAAATCCCGATTGAGAATGTTGTTGTGAAGGATGCTCACTCTGAACACAATAGATTGAAGAATAGACTTGTCAATGTTGTTCCATGTAAGTATATAAGGATATCATATACTTAATTATTACATAGGATTACTGTACAAATTTAATAATTATTAACTTATGAAACATTTGGATTAATCATTTAATTATAGATAAGCCCAATCATCAAGTTTTTAATACTTGATGTACATGTTAGAGATGTGATTTTATCTTCCTGACCTGAGAACATTCAGGCGAATACTTTTGTAATTTTTCTAAAAAAAATGCTATTTTTGACTTCTTCTTGAAAACTACCTACTCTTTTTCTTTGATACTTGGTATGTAGGGTCTGTGAGTTGAAGATAATAACAATAGTAATTTCCATGGCAACAACCAAATAAATTACAAACTAGGTGCTAAGAACATATAACTATGACAAATAATTAATATCTCATTGTACAGAACATTATTTGTTTTGAGGAAGGCGCTCTACAAAGGTTGTTTGTCATGTAATGATATGAAATGTTTTTATCATGATATTGTTTTAAGTATTATATATTATACTTGCATGCCAATTTACTATATTATAACTAATTAAATCGTGTATAAAACTGATTGTGTACGTTTTGCCATTTTGTTAACATAGTGTGTATCATTTTTCAGATGATGGAAATCGTTTTCGTCTGATTCGTCTGCTTGGCAGAGAACACTCTGATTACATCAATGCTTCCAACATCGATGTAAGTAAAAATGCATTTTTATTTTTGTACTATATGCACACAAGTCTAGACTGCAATACTGTAAATCGTTTATAATTTTTGTTGCTAGAAATTTATGTGATTTGATGATTTTATGGCATTCCTGTATTCTTCAAGCCTCGACTGATTTTTGCAGTCGGTGGCATGGTTAAGGGTCCTGATTCAATCTGTGCCACAGGCAACATTTTACACCGCAATTTTATGTTTTTTCAAATACAGTATTACTCATAGTTTTGTCTTTTATATATTTATATATATTATATAACAACATTTCCACAAGCCCAAATTCAGCAAATTAAATAGCCATGGAAGTGCTGCCAAACACAAAAAGTAGATCCGCGCTTGAGCACAGTAGTGTGAAGGAGTGCATGAGAAATGGGTGAATAGGATTAGTTAATTAGTTGTTGAAACGATCAGAATAATTGCACAAAATGAAGCAAACAAACGTTTTCTGTTTAAATAAGACCATAATGATCTGTTCATCTTTCTTCTATTGAGTATTGAGTATCACTATAAATAACCAAGCGTTCACCATATGCTCATGTTAAGAATACACGAATATTTGAATATTCAAATTCACCTGTGACAGAGACTGATTCAATGCGTTCAATCAATAAGCAAAATGTTGCACCACATTGTTGGTGAGATAAAATTATGGTGTTCAAAACATCGAGGAAATTAAGTTTTATATAGTGTTGCTTTGCACAGTGTGAATAAAAAGTAACATTATATTTGTAAATAGTAGATATGGTCAGCTTAACTTTTCTTCCTCAACATGACTACATGAATTGAATAATGATAATAGCATGAGTTGAACATAGCTATGTCTTCTACAGGGTTACAGACAGAAGGGTGCTTACGTAGTGACACAAGGTCCTCTCAAAGATACAGTAGAGGATTTCTGGAGATTAGTTTGGGAATCCAGAACTGGATCTATTGTCATGCTTTGTCATCTGCAGGAGAATGGTCTGGTAAGGCACAGTCATATATATGTTTTATGGTTATTAAAAAAATACCAGAATCGATTTTTGAGTGCATCGCATAGCAAATATGCACATTATATTTTTAGCTCCGCAGTCATCGAAGATGACGAGCGGAGCTCATCGGTTGGCTGGACCTGTCATCGTATGTCCGCCGTTCGTCAACTTTTTTTCAAGCGACTTCTTTTCCCTAAATGTATTAAAGCTAGATCACCATGCTATTTATATCATAGCTACCTGTCAGTTTTGTTCATTTCATGACATCATATCCAAATCTCTGTTTTTAGGGAATATTTTTGTTATTTTTGGTAAAAAATGATTTTTTCAAAAACTGCTTGTCAGATTGCATTGAAATTTGGCATGAATGTTCTTGACATGGACTGGACTCTGACTTACTAATTTCATGAGACCATATGCAAGTGTCTATTTTTAGCTCCGCTGTTGACTTAGTAGAGCAGAGCCGATCATATGAGTTATTGTCTGTCGGTGTTCGTGTCAAAAATTTTTGTTATTTTGTTGTTGAAAACAGCAAGTCTGGTTGCTTTGATATTATATATATCTGTACTACATGTGGACCTCTCTCAGATTTGTTCATTTTGTTTTGATATATTCAATTCTCTATGAATATTTTTGTCATTTTTGGTAAAAAGTGATATTTTCGACTTCTTGTTGAAAACCGCAAGTCCAATTGATTTGATACTACATATATAGGTACTGCATGTGGACCTCTCTCAGATTTGTTCATTTCGTGATGATATCTTCAATTCTCTAATTTTGGTGAATATTTTTGTCATTTTTGGTAAAAAGTGATATTTTCGACTTCTTGTTGAAAACTGCAAATCTAATTGTTTTGATATTATTCATATACCGTAGTTACTACATGTGGACTGCTTTCAGATTTGTTCATTTTGTGATAATATCTTCGATTCTGTAATTTTGATGAATATTTTTTCCATTTTTGGTAAAAAGTGATATTTTCGAATTCTTGTTGAAAACAACAAGTCCTATTGCTTTAATACTATACATATTGTTCATTTTCTAATGATATCTTCAGTTCTTCAATTGCAATGTGCATTGCTAACAGCGGAGCTATCTCAGTCGACAGGCTACTTGTTAGTAAATATTTTTTGTTTTTTTTGCATATTTTTAACTTCTTCTCCAAAACTGTCTGCCAGATCACTTTGGGATTCATAATGTAGACACATGGACAGGTCCACTTTCAAATTTGTTTATTTGGTGAAGATATCTCTATTTTTGTGAAAGTTGTGATTTTGTTTTTGCAATTATTTTTGTTCATTTTCCCACTTTCCCATACATATATATGGGCTATGTAAAAAACATGGAATGTAATAGACAATTTTATTGTTGGGTTCTGAACTACCATGGCCAATGTTTTCAAAAATGTTGAATTTCAGGTCAAGGTCATTTCAATGTTTATACGTTTTGCTGCTATTAGTCTTTACAGTACACATTGTGTTGGGTATTGAACTACCTGGGCCAATGTTTTCCATGTCATTTTTCAGTACACATTGTGTTGGGTTCTGAACTACCTGGGCCAATGTTTTCCATGTCATTTTTCAGTACACATTGTGTTGGGTATTGAACTACCTGGGTCAATGTTTTCCATGGCATTTTTCAGTACACATTGTGTTGGGTACTAAACTATCTGGGCCAATGTTTTTAAAAAATGTTGAATTTCAGGTAAAAGTCATTCCAATGTTCACTCCGCCCTACGTTTCCAACTCACATTTAACAATTTGTTTTGAAATTCAAACAAAACTAGTCAGCTGGCAATTATTCATTGTTTTATGGTATCCTATGCAGTTTTACGGTGTCTATGCACTTCTGTACTGCATTGAAACTGACATACAGATGATGCATGGAACCTCGTGGTAAATATGTTTATCTTTGTGACTTGTACTGAACATTGAGATCAACTCCAGCTTAAAACAACACAGGGACTGTGTATTAATTGTCAATGCTTGTTAAATACTGCAACTAGCAGCAATTTGAATGTGATATGACTTGTAATAGTCACAACCATCGTGTTAAAACCTTTTAGGCACATGCATCTATCAGGTTATTGAAATGAAATCTAGAGGAATGAGGATGACTGTTCAAGTAAAAATATATTAAAGATTTTCAGAACTATTAATATGACAGTTTTCATTTTGTGTACGGTATAAGAACGGCAAATAAAAATATATTAAAGATTTTCAGAACTATTAAAATGACAGTTTTCATTTTGTGTACGATATAAGAACAGCAAATAAAAATATATTAAAGATTTTCAGAACTAAGTGACAGTTTTCATTTTGTGTGTCTGTTGTCAGGAAAAGTGTACCCAATACTGGCCTGAGGATGATGAGACTGCCACCTATGGAGATATTGCTGTACAGTTGAAGAGAAATGAAGACTATTCCATATATACAATTAAAACATTGCTTGCAACTGACACCAAGGTAAAATATATGAATACTCACATATCACATCAACATTGGCTTTATATATATGTTATTTCTGCAATATTCTGAGGTCATAAGAATATTATGGTGGTCAATGCAAATGATATTGATGCGTATCCTTATTGCCTTATTGTTAGATATCAGTCCGAAAACAAACAAAAAAATTTTAGTCACATGTTATACATGTACACTGTAGCATGGATATAATTATAATATGTGTATTTGTTTCAAATGGTTTGTACTGGTTCTAATGCACTGTTCCACTGATATCTCAAGATCCATATATTGGTTTTTGATGACACTTGATGCATAGCTGCTCTGAGCTAAGGCATAGATTTTATTATTAGTATATATGTCTCCAATACTCTCAGCACACATTCTTTTTAAACTTTCTTTGATTTCTTATTAGGGCGGAGAATCACGTACTATTCGTCATTTTCACTATACTGCATGGCCTGAGATTGGGGCTCCAGAAAGTGGAACTGGAATGATTGAAATGATGGGTCAAATACAGAAACAGCAACAGAATACTGGAAACTTACCCATTCTTGTACATTGCAGGTAAATATTTATGAATGTGTATTTTTTTATAGTCATTAAAAAACAAATTATACTTAATTAAGTGACAATGTTAACAGTGATGTAACAAGACTTGGGGAATAAAAATGACCATGCAGTATGTTTTTCACACAATTAGTTAAACCATTTATTATTACCATATTTGCTCTCCCTATGCGCTTCCGTTAATGTGGTTATGTGGTCAAAATAAATAATATTATTTCAGTATACAACAAATGCTATTTTTTGTTTATACCTATGCTCTTCTATACAATAGTAAAGTTTTAACTGGAGAGAAAAAAAAAATCTTATGTATGTCTGTCACAGTGAAACACAAGATATATTAAAGATATATCAAGATAGTTGAAGTTTTGATAATTTATTACGTAAAAAAATGAACCAGTTTTGTGCCATCAAAGGGACTAGCCATGTCTTGGTAGTATACCACAAGTTTTCATCAGGTCACAAATATTTCTAACTATGAATATTTAGCAGACCATTAAAATGACAACTTATGATTGACATAGTAGTTTATAAATAAATAAACGCTGCTCGGACTGATAAATATGATATATAGAAGATAATATTTGGTAATCGTAGTAATAATAGTTAATAATAATAGTTAATAGTTTTTAATAGTTATTTAGGACTACGATTACCAAATATTATCTTCTATATATCTTATGATTGACATGTTTTATTTAGTGCTGGTTCAGGACGAAGTGGTGCTTTTTGTGCATTGAATACAGTCATAGAGCGGATCAAAACAGAGGGAATAGTTGATGTCTTCCAGACATACAAATCATTGAGAGAACAAAGACCACAAATTGTGCAAAGTGTTGTAAGTTGGATTTTATTATTCGTTTGTACTAAATATCAGATAGAATTATTAAAAATGATTTATTTTCACTTTTGCATTTTCTCAATCAATTAAAGATGATATAGGTTTGTCACCATGTGCATGTAATATAACGTAAGCTTAGGATCAGTGTTTATCAATGTGAAAATAAGTAGTTAGAATTAAACTACCATCTTTTACAGCAAAAAAAACGATGAAATCTCTGATTCAGCACATTTTTTTTTAAATCTCATTGAACATACCATTTCTGATTAAGTTACATTTTACATTTTTTAAGGTATATTTTTTTGAAAATCACATACATACTATAAACATATATGAAAGGAAAGGTAGCTGAAACCCAGCTTGTTGTGAATTTTTTTTCGATTGACTGCCACCTGTGATTCTAAAATAAAACTGAATGAGAAATAGTTCATAAAAGCTAAAATTGATTGTTGAAAAGAAATACACAATTTAAAAAGCGCTAGAAATTTGATTATGCGCTGTGCGACAACCACCGGCCTTTAATATTTTGCCTGTCTGTGTATCAGTTATGTTGTTATACTTGCCTATACTTCATTCATCATAATCATTGTTTCTACTTTTTTTGTTTGCAATTTTACAGGACCAGTATAACTTTGTATACAAGGCAGTTATTGATTACTTGGGATCATTTGATAACTACGACAACTTCAAATAAGTGCTTACAATAAACATCTTCAGTACTTATAGAAATTAAACTGGTTGAATTTCAGAACTTTTGTATAATCAAGAAGAAAAGTTATGTTTTAAATTTTGTATAGATTGCAATGAATTATACATCTGCTTACATTTTTGTATATTTTCATAAATCTATTTTCATAAATAATATTCAAATGACTAGCGCTTACTAATTCTTAATGTTTTAATGTAATAGTTTTCAAATGTTCATGTTGTATGTCAGAGATGCATTAATTATTCAAGAAAATCTGATCGTTTACCTTTTGCAAAATATTTACATTATCAATTTTATGTAATTTTGATAGACTATATTATTTTATACAGGACTGCTTTAGATAAAATCGTGGCAATAACCAAAAAATATTAACTGACATTTAGTGAAGGCTGAAACAGGCTGCATACTTTACAACATTACTGTTTTTTCGTTGTTTTTTCTAGATTAATTTTAGAAATAATACTTTATTTTTCTACGTGTAGAATGACATTATATGAAAAGCTTTTCTAATATAAGACCACCAACATAAACATATTTTTCCATGTTCTTCAAAAGAAAATTTATTGAGATCTGAAACCAATAGAAAATTTTGTTCATTTGGTTGAAAATACACTCCATGCACTTCAATTCTGGCAGTCAAAGGGTTAATTTTATATCAAATGTGACCTTTTAAAGGTTTTTGTGTATATTTTATTTTTTAGTGTCTAAGAGATGTGTTGATCACATCTCTACCAACTGTGTCTTTGCTTTTAACTAACATTCCATATTTAATCTGCCATGCAGTTGGTGTATACTATGTACTTAAAGTATCTTTTTTACTTCTTAAATCTTGGTGGTGTTATGCCACAGTCTTTTAAAATGTCATAAGCAGTAACAGCAATAAGTAATTCTGCTACTCCTTGATATCATATTTTTAATTCTAAATGTTATATATTCATGATTGTTTAATTTTACTTAATATGTGATGTCATTTGAACGTCTTTCATCAACTTTCCCATAATATATATACACAGATCCACTAATTATGAAATAATATTCCCTAGCAATGATAAGATATGCAATAAATATTCAAACTATACAAATTATATAATAAGTTGCAAATAATGTGATTTCAAATACATGTAAATGTGTTAGTTTAATGATAATCTGTTACCATGATTACAATCTGTTACCATAATTACAATGGTATATTTTCATATAAACACATATTCAATTAACCAAGATTTTATTACTCACGATATTTACTTAGCTTACAATCAGTAAAGTTACATTCCAATGCTGTTTTTTTAAGGATGTAAAATATTGCTAGTACTGTTATCTGTATTTAACAGCTAGGTCACAACATTTATCACAGGTTTTCATTCCATGCCTTTATGTTATTTTCACAAGTCACAATGCATTTATCTTCTATTGACAGGTCACAGAGCAGTTATCTGTTGACATGTCACTATGAATTTATCAGAGATTGGTAGGTGATTATGTCTTGATCAAATATCGATTGATCACTATATGCCTTGATTGGATATTGACAGGTCACCTATGCCTTGCTCTGATGTTGACATTTCACTATTCCTTGATAAAATTGTTATTGGTTATATGCCTTGATCACATGATGGGAGGTCACTATGCTTTGATAAGAGGTTTTCTGAACTTGGCAAAGTAATCAAAATTTCCGGCCACCCGAGTTGGTGAGAAACAAACTATGCAGTATGTTCTAATTCAAATGTTTGCGACAGAAGCTAAGTCTGTGCTTTTTGCACAATAAGCAAGATCTCGTAGTGAATGGAAAATCATTTATTAATCGATGAGAATGTAGCCTGATGCTGAATTCTCTCCTGCAGGAATGATGAGGAGAATATTTTATCTTTTAGAATGATTCAGTGATATTTCGTTTGATACAGTCTAGTAATGTATTCTCACCATTATATAAGTTTGAAGTTTATGTAGAATTCATGCAAACTTTCCCAATGATTATAGTGGTGTGACGAATAAATTCGCCCAAACAATAATAGACTATATCCTGTTTCAGAATTTACGAGAATTGTCAAATAATTACGATCTGCCTCTTCTACAAAGTTTTTGTATATTTTGTATGTTTTTGTTGATAATTATTTTCATGTCATGTACTTATTATCACAGTGGATTTAATTTTCAAAATTCTTAAGAATATGATATTGTTGAAGCAGGCCTGTGAGGATATAGAATGTAATGCATCTTTGAAGTTATAATTTACGACGAAATTATAAACAAATATAACAACAATTCTCATTTGACATCGAATTTTGCCACAGCGATTGCTAGAGGAAACATCTGATCAATACTTAACTGATTTAACAATGAAATAACTACTGTTGCTTCTGATACAACCTAATGGCTTTGTGTAAGCTTTTAATTTGTATTCATGTTTTATATATTCAGATTTATATAATAATAAAATCAGTAGAAACGCATGTATTGGTTATATGGTTAAGTGTATTCGTGTGAATGATTGTTTTGCCTGCCAAATATTACCGGTATACTAAACAACTATGAAGAAAGTGCCGTCTTGAAAACTGTCAACCCGTTCTCAATTTTGCAGGCTAGTTGTCTGTACGATTGTTGTAACACTGTTCAACCAAAAACAATGCCCCGACGGCGTTTTGAAGATAAGCACACTGTCAATCATTTGTGAAAATTTCCAAACAAAAGGTCAAAGCGTCTAGGAGCTATTTTTTTAAAGTTCTGGGATGTGCACTAAAAAGAAGCTGAGATAATTGCTAATTTGCATAACAATTCACTCAGTAAGAAGTTTGCCTAATGCTCATAATTAAAATGGCTGTAACAGTTCCAAATTTAAATGTATTATCGTTTTGTTAAAAGTTAAATATAGTGCATAATATGGAGATCCCGTCATTTCTTTTTTTCACCATGTTTCTTTTTTATTATTCATGTACAGCCTTGCTAAATCTTGCTAAGCATTCAAAAGAGAGACTGTTTGCACCTGTTATATCTTAAAATCGTTTTTTTGAGTGTTTTCCCCTATTCACAATTGTACAAAATTTTATCAGTCTATAGCCAAGACTGTTTGGATAATAAAAAGCCAAAAAAAAAAAAAATTCACTCCAAAGTGCCCACGAACCTGCATCTCGACCTTAAACAGAATTTTGAATTAGAAAACTATTTAAAGGAAATGAAAAACTTCAGTCAACGTAGAATTTGGAAGAAAGAGTAAACCAAAAACCCCAGAAAATAAAAAAACTTGCAAAAATTGCAATTCAGATCAAATTGAAGATAAAATGCAT